GNNAGGTTTTGATCCTAAATTTCTAAGTGTTAGAAAGAGAAGAAAGTGTTCTTCATAAAACTTCAAGAAAGAGTTCTTAAAATTCCCAAATAAAATTCATAAATATTCCTATACAAGAAAACCGAGTCTTTTCTACTAGCGAAGGAAAGTCGTCGGAACCGGGCTTCATAGGGTGGATACGTTTAGAGGGAAGACACCTGGATTCCTCTAGCGAGTAACCTCAAGTCGTTGAAGTTACAACTGGGAACCGATTCCCTCATCCATCATCAATAGTGAAGGAGTTCAAGACATTCGGTAAATGTTTTACTAGTATTTACTTTATAGTAACAAATCAAAATTTGTATATGATGCATGTTTTAAAGATGACGATCAGTTAATTTGCAATTAGTATGTACGGGTGTTGTATTTATACGATAAATACTTACTTTGAAAAATTTTAAATTCCGCTGCTTAAAGCCCGTACGGTACTAGCGAACCCAACATAAAAGTGTGTCACTAACTCCATATGAGTTGTGGAATGGGAAACCACCTATTTTGGACCATTTACGCCCTTGGGGTTCGGCTGGCTATGTGCATAACCAAACTCACAAGTATGGAAAGCTTGGTCAAAATGGTGTTCATTAGATACCCTGAACATTCAAAAGGGTATGTTATGTTTGGTGAACATCCAGATGATGGAATGACTGAGCTAGACTCACGTAATGTCGATTTTCTTGAGGATGAGTTCCCAAGTATTGGTGAAATTAAGAAAGACCTTCAGTTGTATGAGTTACAACAAGAAATGCAATTATCTTTAGGAGATGAGGGGGATATTTTACCTCTAGTGGTCTCCAAAGATAATGAAGTTCTTCTAAATTCCATTGGCGAAATGCAAGTATCTTTAGGAGATGAGAGGGATATGTTACCTCAACAGGTCACCAAAGATAATGAAGTTCTTCTAAATTCCACTAGTGAAAAACAAACTCAAAATGAGGATGAGCCTCATAGAGTAGAGCAAGAGATAAGTCATCAAGCTCATAGTCCCATGCCTCTCGAGGACAGTGGGAGAAACTTTTCAGCTAGTTTGGAAAATAATGAAGGTCCTATTTTGAGAAGTAGTGATCGTGGAAGAATTCCTCGTCGATTTTTTCAAATTGAGGAGGATGTATTTGTTTGTACTCCTTTAGAAGTAGATGAACCGAACTGTTATAAAGAGGCAATGATTCACCATATAATTTAGAATGGAAAGATGCGATGAATGATGAGATGGACTCAATGATTAAAAATAATGTTTGGGAACTTGTTGACCTTCCACCTCATCGTCGATCAATTGGATGTAAATGGATATTCAAAATCAAGCGTGGGGTGGATGGATCAATAGAAAAGTTCAAAGCTCGTTTAGTAGCGAAAGGTTTTACCCAAATTGAAGGTATAAATTACGATGAGACATTTTCTCATGTGTTAAGATTTGCCTCTATTCGTTTTCTTCTGGCCCTGATTCCCATTTGGATTTAGAATTATTTCAAATGGGCGTAAAAACAACATTCCTCAATGGTTCTCTTGAGGAAGAGATATATAGGGATCAACCTATTGGGTTTGTCCCAAAAGGGCAAGACAATAAAGTTTGTCACCACAAAAGATCCATATATGTTCTCAAGCAATCTTCCAGACGATGGTATCTCAAATTCCATGAAGCCATGTGCATTTGGTTTGACCATGGTTGATGAAAATCATTGTGTGTATGTCAAGAAAAGTGAAGAAGTAATTTTGTTTCTTTCTTTATACGTTGATGACATATTGTTGGCTGGAAACGACATGGGAATGGTCAACGACACTAAGCAGTGGTTGTCCTTTAACGTTGAAATGAAGGACATGGGTGAAGCTAGGTATGTCCTAGGAGTAAAAATAATGACAAATCGTCCTAAGAAAATTCTTTGTTTGTCTCAAGAAACATATATTAAAAGAATCTTAGAACGTTTTCAAATGCATTATTCCAAATCCATTGATACCCCAGTCGAAAAGAGTTTAACCTTAAGTCTTGACCAATGTCCGAAAACATATGAAGAAAAACATAAAATGAGCAATGTTCCATATGCTAGTGCAGTAGGAATCTTGATGTATGCTATGTTATGTACACGGCCAGACATCTGCTTCGCGGTTGGCTTGGTAAGTCGTTACCAAAGTAACCCTGGGCCCGCACATTGGCAAGCTGTCAAGAGAATCTTGCAGTACCTGTGTGGTACAAGTGACTTGGTACTTTGCTATCAAGGTGGGTCCTTGAAATTAAAAGGATACTCGGATGCTGATTGGGGTAGCAATCTGGATGAGTCAAAGTCAACTTCAGGATATGCCTTTATATTTGGTGGAGGTGCAATATCTTGGTGCAGTAAAAAACAAGATTGCATAGCCCTTTCGGCTATGGAAGCTGAGTAGGTTTCTAGTTGCATTGCTATTCAAGAGGCAATATGGTTGAGGAATTTTCTGCAAGATCTCAACCTCACCTCAAAGGCTGATGAACCTGTAGAAATGCATTGTGATAATACTGCTGCTATCCAGTATGCCGAGGATCCGAAATTTCACAGAAAAACCAAGCATATCAAAAGGCGTTATCATTTTATACGAAACGCAATAAAAAATAAGGAAGATGTCATTAAGTATATACCCACAAATAAAATGATAGCTGATCCCTTAACTAAACCTATACGCAGAGATGCTTTTCAAACTCATGTGAAGAGTCTTGGTTTGCATAGGTTTTAATTTTATTTTTGTGGGATAATGGATGTGTATAATGTTACACCGAACATATATGAAATTTGTTGTTCTTTGATATGTTCTTTAGCATATGTTGCATAAGTAGGCATGAGTAAAGATGTCACCAGGCTTTTGATTACGCTTATCACACAGGTAATCGCCCTATCACATTAGTTGTGAGTAATAGGATGAGACTATGTCATATTCATATTACGTGTATGTAGTATGGAATGTATTTGTACTTTTGTTGTATAAATATATTTTTTTCTACAGTCGCCTTAGTAAGTCTAAGATGAGACTCTAACGAGTCGAATATGAAATAATCCTGATGTCATATCAAAGCTAGCCGAATCTCGAGTGGAAGATAAATTATTAAGTATATTTATCAAGTGGCTCGGGTTAGATACTTGAGTAGTATCTAGACTACAGATTCGTATAACATAGTAGAGTGACATGCTCATCATAGTAGGAGCTATGTTATGACACGTATATCATACTGCGTGTGCTTTTGAACGACCGTTAAGGATTGACAAATGATTCCCTACTTTGTCAAGGTGTGAATCCTATGCATTTTGTTGTCCAACTTTGTACGAAGCCTTTTGACTTAGAACTATGTTATGAAATTGAGACTTAGTGTTGCTACTTTAATATGTCCTCCAAGAGCTATGATCCATACAGTTCGACGGAGCATGTTAGAAAAGCAACTAAATTGAGATGAAATTTCATTAGTGTCTAAGAAATAACTAATTCAACTTCACCACATTAGCCTGGGCGGTTATATTTGAATATAACCATGTTGTGTATATAGCATATAGGGGCTGTGATCGGTGATTTGTGAACAGTTAGAGGTTGTCGTATGTATAAGGTGTTATGTTAGTTAGATGGTGACTTAATATAACACTGTTATTGTTGTTTTTGTCGCACGCTCTATTACCCGTATGAGGCAAGAGATTTGTTGATAAAGATTTATGTTGATGATATTGTCTTGGCTTAAGTGGCTGAGTGGGAGTATTGTTTGTAATTGATGTTACATGCATCAATTCACTTGTAACATCCACTTTAAGGTGAAGTTGTTACTCATCTCCATTATGTATGGAGTTATGAGAGTTATGAAGTGGAGATTAAATGCTTCATTAAGTGAATAGTTGTATAAAAACAACTATAAATAAGGTGCTTTTGTGCATCTTGAAAGTGTGACATGAAAACAAGAAAAACAATTTGAGTTTTATATCACAACAAATAATCTTTAAGTGCATATATCTCTTGTTGAGCCGAAACCATCACAAGGTGGCTCGGGTTTAGAGCATGGAGGATACCGACGACTCTATTAACCATCAGATAAAAGATACGGGCAAGTTTTCACTTCCGCTACATAAAAATTAATCTTATATATAATATATTTATATATGTGTTATATAAAACTACAAACACTAATAAAATTGTGACCAGCGTTTATTTTGGATTCGAGTTGCAAATATAAGACGAGGTTAATTATTCTTTCTAAATTCTAAAAGTTTAATTAAAATTACCAAAACTCTAAATGCCGTCGTATTACCGATAATTAAGCTAGTAACTATATTTCTTAAATGAGTACTACGGTAGTATAAAGCCTTCTGCCACCTAAGTAAATAAATATATATTTGTTAACAGTGATGCAGCTTTTTGTGAAATATCGGGAAAAATGTTGGAGCACTCTCCTAAGCAACAGAAGGAGAGGGCTCTCCCGAAGCGCATAATCCTTGTCCGGCACGGCGAGAGTGCGGGAAACGTTGACGGAACTGCCTATGCCACCACCCCTGACAACAAAATACCCCTTACTCCCCAAGGCGTTGACCAGGCCAAGCGCGCAGGATCTCGGATCTACGACGCCGTGAATGACGGCGGCCGTGGATGGAAGGTCTATTTCTACGTATCTCCCTACCTTAGAACTCGTTCTACGCTCCGAGAGATCGGCCGAGCTTTCCCCAGAAAAGTGGTCATCGGCGCTAGGGAGGAATGTCGTGTCAGAGAGCAGGACTTTGGCAATTTTCAGATCGCTCAGCGGATGAAAGTGATCAAGGAGACCAGAGAGCGCTTCGGAAGGTTCTTCTATCGATTTCCGGAAGGAGAGTCTGCTGCAGACGTTTACGATCGGGTTTCCAGTATGTTTTGATTCTCTACCTCTCATTATTTGCTTTTATGAATTGATGATTGCCTATCTCTCGGATATTTTTTACTATGAATCTGTATTCTGATGATTGTCTATCTCAAAGTCATTTGTTTCTATGAATGCCTACTCGGATTGTCTATTTACAGCTGCAAGTGAACGAGGACTGAAAATCCTCTTTCTTTTATAGATAGTTGGATTTTCTTCAGTTTCATTGTGAATTGTACTTTTGCGATTCATCAAAAATATTTAATTAGACGAACTATTCCCGTGTGCACTCTTTAGAACAGGTTATTAGGAACTGGAAAACTCTTGTCCTTATTCAAGGATAATGGAACCTGTTCTATTTGATGATTCTTCTTATCAGTTCAGGTCTTCTGAAATTTTAGTTTGTTCTATGTTCTGGTATTTTGATATTTTGGTTCAATGACAACATAAGTTGGTATTTAGATATTCTGATAGAAGCTGGAAGAAATATCTAACAGAAGCTGGAAGAAATAATGTTGACGAACGTTTTCGCCAACGACTACGAAGCGGTAGTATTCTATTTACGCGGTGTGGTTAGTGTTTGAGATGATTGAAAATGAAAACAAAGACATGAATAGAAATAGGAACAACAAGACGGTCGATGAATTAGGTGTTGCGCTGATACGTGTGCACCGGGGGTTTTATTCATGGATTTGGGCTGCTCTTTGGCCTCTTTATTACAAGAGCCTAGCCTATTGAAAGCCATTTGAACTAGGAAGCTGGCGAGTATTACTAGTATATTGGGTTGTATTTTCCATGTATCTTTCTTGAATTAGGAATTCGATGTGTATTGGAAGTGATGCTTTTTCGATGTCCCTTGCCTTTACGGAAGGCCTGCTATTTATAGAAGGGTAGACTTTTAAAATATGTTTATATTCGAGACTCGTGACGGTCTCTTAGAGGTTAGCGACATGGAGAGTGATGCGTGTCTCCGCAACTTTCCCAACTTCCTTAAGTGGCTTATATCTTTGGGCGGTGTGAGAGTTTTGGGCTGCAACCCTTTCCTGACCAGTATGTAGTTGAGATCGGTATGAAGTAAGTTTCGTTTGTTTGTGTCCGATGTAAGGAAGAAACCTTTCTGCGTTATGGTGAGGTCGGTCAGACGTGCCTATGATCTGAAGTGAGATCAGCGCAAAGGAGGAGACCTGAGCTTTCGCCTAATATGTGAGTTTCGTACCCAAGCGGCAAAAGCAGGGCTGTCGCGCCTTCCTCTCGCTTGGTCAGCTCTTGGCTCACACCTCTGTCTTTGCAGCCTATCCTACAGGATGGGTGGATCCCAATATCCGAATGGGGAGAGTGACGAGTGGAAACGAGCATCAGGAAGGGAAGAGCGGAAGAGAAAAGGTCAAGACCAACTCTCCAGTCTGTCTTATGAGTTCAAGCAGGTTCAGGGGTAAGAGCTCAGGTAAGAGACCGGGCGGAAATTTGTCCCAAAAGAAAGCTCATAGTACCTTTCTTATATTCAATTCCATAAAAAAAATTTCCATTCTGCTCTTTTTTTGTATTTACTTAGAATAGATCCGCTTTCCAATTCTATGGATCTTCTCTGAACAACGGAATGGATTGATCTGACCCAACTTTCGAAGCGAAGTGAAGAAAAGGAGAGCAGCTTTCGCCCCTGATTCAACATGCCAACTATTAAACAACTTCTTAGAAATACAAGACAGCCAATTCGGATTGAAGCCCTCCCTTTTCTGAGATGATCAAGTTCGACACAAACTCTTGAAAATCTCCCCGGTCAAGGTTTGACATGGTTGACTTGGTGACCAGGTTGCCAATTAGAGATGATCTGATTCTAAAATAGAAAACAAATGACTTTTCTTTCTTTGTACCATTCTGGGGGACTCCTTTGCAGAATTCAGGCCTAGCCATTAACGGAGAAGCTATGGGACCAATGTCAAACTCAAGCCTTGCCAGCTTAAATATCATATAGAGCTCCTTTAGTTAGGAAGCTATCGAGCTCTATGTGATGGACTGTTTATGCCTTGTCGATCTTGCTACTTGAATGAAGCCTTCCTTCTTTTTTCTTCTCGGTCCGCACTCGGGCTCGTGAAAACGAGTTCCCTACCACCTTCACTGATTCAAATCTACAATGCAATACGAATAACCAATCTCTTGACGGCGAAAGATTATTATGAACATAGAATTGCAGTACATGAATCATGAGTTTGATGTTGAATGGCGCACGGCGCCCCATCTGACAAATCCATTGGACGACTGCCTTTTATCTCTTTCCACGGCGGCTTGGCTTCGCTATCGAAAAAACTTGAAAATCCTAAAAGTAGGAGTAATTCAAAGGATAAATAAGTTATTGCTTTTGCGCTAAGTACGTTACGATCTTTCTTTACGATATTTCGAATTGAACTTCTATTGAGTATAAAGCCTGGTTTGAAGAGGGCGAACAAGAAGGACAACCGTGGGAAAAAAAGGGAGGAACCACAACAAAAGGAAGCCTTTATTGCCGTAGGGGGCTCATCCTCTTTTCCGGTCTTGAAGATGGTATTCCGTCAGCTCCCATCCCCAGAATGTATCGTCCAGGCTCGATGTAATTGAGCTCGACGGTTTGAAGATGCTCGACTAACGGAAGTAGCTCAATTGATAACGAGGGGGGCTAGGTGGTCTAGTTGACTTTTCTATAGGTAGATAGGAGCGTCGAAACTCTACTTCCTAAATGATTGATCGATTTCCCGCTCTCTCTATCTCCAACTCAGTGTTGATAGGAAGAGACCAGAAAGATCCATTCAAGCTCTGCAACAGTAAGACATCGTGTGAGGCGAACCGAGGGTGGACAAAGTTGGGCATCGAAGGAGCAGGCAGGCTGCAAACCCCACCAACTGGGACGCCCTTCTCCTTCATAAAAGAGCGCTTAGCCTTCTAAGAAAATTGCTTCAGAACTCCATCTCGCTGAGTCACAGGCAGCTCTCAAAGACCAGATCAAACAAACGTATTACTGAAGCGGAAGTGTAGCTGGCCGGGCTAGCCCCGTTCGCTTATCGTGCTAAGGCTAATATCCGGTGACCTACTTCTACCAGAGCACGTGAGTCCTCAAACTAATAGACACTGGTATTACCACATCCTTGTGGCGTTCTCTCCCGCTCCCAAGGAAAATTGGAAGATCTAGGATAGGCGGCCAACCTCCTGGAGAGAGCGATGTGCATGGACTAGGTGAGTAGGGATGCAGCTCCGTGGACCGCTCGCTCGGCAGATCGTAGTCTCAAGGAGTACCGAGTGTGCCCAAGGAGTTACGATAGGTGGTTAGACCACTGCGGCTTGAAAGCAGTCTACAACGAATCCTGCAGGTTAAGTAACAACGGTCCTCACCACTCAATGGAGAATAGAAGGATAGCCTAGAATCGAGCGTCAGGTGAACATGAGCCTGATCAAGAGGAGGAAAAGCAGGAACTGAGGTCAATTACATCGCGGGCATAAGTAGCCACCTAAGGTTTATGAGCGTAAGATCCTATGAGATACCTCCTTCTATAAGAGGATAGGCGAGAAGAAGCAGGCTGTTTACCGGTTGATGGAGGGTCTGTTGTCAAAAACTGCAGCACCGTCTCTTAGCTGAACGCGGCTTCGCGAGACCATTTCGGTCTACGCTGGACTCAAACTGGTAAGCAAGTCAGTCCCCCTATGGAGAAGAGGGGAGAAAAAGACTTCTCTTAATAAATTAGGTTTTGAAATCCAGTCTTTTGGGGGACATTTCGAAGATCGGTCGTTAATATCGTAGGAAAGCGCGGCTCAGCAGTTGGAGGTGGTGCGGTTGGCTGGAGATCATGCTCGAGTTGCAGCCGCATGCATACAGGCTGGAGCGGACACCCACGTTACAATCAATAAGCTCCAGCTAGGTACACTTTCTACCGCCTTTGTGGTAGAGTATAGGGTTCAGCATGCAACTCCCTCTGCATTCAACTCAGTTGCCTGAAGGAAGACCCGCTTATATTTAGTAAAGGTGAACCAGTCAGCTAGTGAACCGGTAAGCACACAGGCAGGGTAGTGTGAAGTCAAGAAGGGAAGAGGAATGTTGAACCGGATAAGGAAAGCCCTTTCTTCTTGGGGCCCTTGCCCTTGGGACTGACTTCTTTAAGACAGCAACATCAACAGCAGCCTGCTGACCCCTATTGTTGTAGAATTTCTAGTTAAGGACATCGTCTATTTAGAGGCTCTAACTAAACGAATGCCACCTTGTTGGTAACACTACATCTTCCCTAGAGCTTTCCTCGACCTGCTTTCAAAAAGTGAATGGTCCTCTCCTCGAGCTGGGGATCTCGCGGTGTAGTGTATTATGATACGTGGGCGAATAGAAGACCTTCTGTTCCTAAAGGCTTAAACGGTCAAAAGAGTTGTTAGCAGTTTCCCACCCTTGAGGTGGGGAGGTTCTCTCGTTCGTCAATGCCTCATCGATTCGTTGATACGTATACAATTGAAAGGGTGACCGCAAGGTTCGATGTAATTGACCTCTGTTCGACCCATAACGAACCTTCTCAACCGGAAGTGCGCTAGAAGGCGTGTTAAGGGATCTTTATGTGTTGTCAAGCAGCTGGGAGAAGCGTAAACTGCATTTCGAACTGGGTTCAGTGCGTGAAAGGGTTTCCTGTCTTTTCTCGAATGGAGGAATGGCTTCAAAAGCTTCGGAGTTAGGAGTTTGGTTTAGACAAAAGGTAGCAGACCTCCGATCCGTCTTCGGCTCGTTCGCCTTGGAGTCATATGGGGTAGGAGTTAGCCCTAGAAAGTGAAAGTCCATAGTAAAGCGGACACGAACATGGGCTATCGCTTGCGACTACAGCCCAGAGGCTCAAATAAAAGCTGTGAGCCTTAACTTAAATAAGCACGTTGAAGACGGCCATTAATCATGAAGCTTACACGTAATGGTTTAGTCAGGTCCACTAGTACCGCCAGCCGAGCAAACTTACCGCGCAATTGACGACTAAAAGGAGAGGAGAGGTTTGGGAGCGAAGTTGAGGGCTACGCTTAGAGTGGTACTACTTATGACTGAACTTCGCTTCGTTTGTACCATTCAATCTTGTGAACTAATCGAGCGGGGTTTTAGGCCTATCATAACTCTCGATAATCAAGCTCAATCCGGCTATCATCGCTGGAATCAGTACATGAATTCCTGACTTTAAAAGAGTTGCCCTGCCCGCGGTTTCACATGCCAATTGGCAACTGTTCTATTTCGTATCATCCCACCCAGATCTATACTACGCTATTTCACCAACGATCATATAATTACTGAAAAAGGCTCAATTTATTAATACCATAACGTTCCTGCCGTACTACACAAGGGGACCCCCTGTCCTCCTCTCCTCCTCCGTAAGGCGGGCGTAGATAGAAGACTCACTCGCCTTAGAGCAGTTGTTCATGCCTCCAAGGTGAAGCGAAGCGCAGTGAAGGAAAGGAGTGAAGCTTGAGGAAGCACTCACTTTTCTATCCACGGCATTCTTGGTTCTGCACTTAGTCAAATATCTGAAATTGTTCCGAAGCGAAGTTCAGTCAGATTTCAATTAAATTCGCAAGTTCTTAGCGCCATGACGTGGTTCAGCCATCAATCGAGCCCGGATTTTCTTCTTGTTCCCAAAGAGATTTCCAAAAAACTTCACCCCAGTAGGTATCGCCTTCTCTCAGGCCAGGTCAAATCAAATCTGCCTTCAACAAAAGCAGCCGGAGGAGCAGCGGTGACCTGAACCACACTTTCTCTGTAGAATTAGATTCCCAATCAACCAATGAATCGGTTAGATCAGCAGGCTCGTCCCCAGAAAAGAAGCAAAGGGAGTCTGACAACTTCCTCTCAGCTGTTCACTCTTGAGAAAATGGGGGTGGAATTTCCCTTCTTTATATTATATGGTAGAGCGTAAGCTAGTCTTTGTGGAATCTCCGCTGCTGTTGTTCCGCGAGGGTATAACAGGCAAAGGGCAGTTGAACCGGAGACGGGCCTTTTCCGCAATTAGCAAGTCACATTCTGCTTTTTTTCTCACCATCTTCCAAATAAAATTGTTGTGGGGGAACACCAGACAACTAGGAGAATTTGAGGAGTCCGTGGCAGCCGCATAGAGATGTTGAGATAATTTGATGAATGACATTTAGCCTGGCTAATACTCATTCGCTTATGTTATAGGGGAGCACTCTTCTTTCATAAGCAAATGTACTTGGTGGCCAAACCAACCCGGCATTCATTTCATCGGCTCAGGGTAACCCAACATGGATAAGACTAGCTCTAGCACTAGCGCTCGCTCTTGTTATTGTTAGGGATAGCTGAACAGAGCAGAACGACCCAACACTAAGTAATCCAAGCCAACCCACATTACTGACTAACGGCGGATAAGAATATTTCTTAGAGGTACTAAATACAACTCCATGAATGAGCAAAATGAAGGTTGCATTAATGATAAAAATCTCTGGGGAAACCGCTAAAAAAAGATTGAACATGTGGGAGGGCTTTTCAATTGCTTTCCGGGCAAGCCAGTACAGTACCAAGGCTTTCTCTTTATAGTAGTTAGATAGTAATTCGTGAGCCAGTCAAGTAAGGCAGTCTCTTCTGTCCCTGGTTGTTAGCAGGCGAAGGAAGAGGCATCTCATGCCTAGACAAGACAGGAGTTTCGTGGAAAATAGAAAAAAAGCCTTTGAACCGATGACTTACGCCTATTTCTTAGGGCCTTTAAAGAGCGTGACTCTACCGCGGCCCATTTATCGAAGTCCTTTCCCATTACCATTATGGTTACAAATCATGGAAAAGACCAAGTAGCACGTAAAGAGGCAACCACTGGGCTGAGGCTCGATGTAATTGAGCTGGAGCAAAGAAAGAAAAAGAATCCGAGCAAGAGAAAGATCGACATTTTCAGCCAAAGGGCAATGCAGGAATAGAATCGTAGTGGTCGGACTGACGCTTCGTCAAATGGGTAGGATCGCGTATCAGTGACCCATACATATCGAATAGTACTCCGAAGGCCCCTCTATTTCGATGATGTCCAAGTGCGCACAGGGGGGGCGTCCAAGATGCTAACTTTGGAATCTTAGTCACTGAGGGGTTAACCTAACCAACGTCGGATCTTGACCTTTACCTGCTTTACTGACTTTCTTTTCTTTTGAAAGTGCTAGGCACCCCGAAATCTTCGCTTCGCTTTGTTCCTCCCAGGAATGGGTATCTTTTTAAAGAGTTTGAAATCCCCGGTTAGTAGGATGGAGCTATACGCAAGCCAATGCCAAGTCCCACTGTAAAGGAGGAATGAACTGAGACTCGACTCGAAGTGGACCCATTCGGTCGGTCTCGGCTTGGTTCCGTTAATGGTTGACCCAACCGTACTTTCCTTAGAATCCGAAGCTCGCAATCCCAAGGAGGGTGTAGCTCCGAACTCGACCAGTCTTCAAAACCCTAGCTCGCAAGCACGGTGTAGCTAAGCTTCGTAGCAGGATTTATAACCTACTGTGCTCAGCTGCTCTTCCCCGAAACTCAACTGATAGGCGGTCAAGCTCCAAGTCAAGCGGCAGAGAGATTACATATTTGGACAGAAACTACATCGCTTGACCATGACTCACTGACGAATATGCCTTGGACGCGGTTATGAGAAGTGTTGTTCCAAAGCTAGGATTTCTTTCGGAGATGTGTTCAGTGGTATGGATTCTTCCGTTGGTGTCTTCCATATCTTGCAACTTGGCTTCTTCTTCTCGATGATGCCCCTGTGAGTCTCAATTACATCGATCCTCTTCCGTAGTGAATCCTGAAATAGAATAATATATTAGACAAAAACTCTGCAGGAGATTGCGTGTGAGATACCGCTGACTTAAAAGAAAAAGCAGGCTCTGACAAGACCTCCAAAAGGGCACTAGGAGACTAGACATTAGTTGCATGATTGGCCGACTAAGACTATTTTATTTAAAGAGCGGATTCCCTCGAGAATGGATCTTTCACTAAGTGATGAGGTTAAGTCCACAGCAAAGCATGCCGGACAAGCCTGTTGTCTTCCTTTACAATCCAACTTCAGAGATTGGCATTTCCGTCCGGGCATATATCTACGTATGCCCTTGCATTGGCCAGATCGGTGTATTTTGGGTATAACAAATAAGAGCAAAATGGTAGAGGGTTCAGTTTGGTTTTTGCCAGTGGTTGGTAGGGGTGAGAGGATGTAGACAATGAATAAACCTCAGATGCAGGCACATTTTGAAGTAGAAAATGTAAATAAAATACTCCCACTGCCACAAAGATAGTCATGTGATGTTTTCCGCATAGTTTAAGAAAGCATGTAACCTAACATTACAAATACATCATTTGAAGTAACATGAATATCTTAGTTGACACTTGACACTTGAAATAGTAGTGCGGATATCTTTGTGGGGTGGACTGAAAGTTAAATAAATGAGGGGGGAAAAGGGAAAATGGCAAAGGTTTTAGTTTAGATTTATTTGTACTGGACACAGGGCATTATGCGTTTTCAATTAACATTTTGATCAACAATATTAAGTCATGTCCATCAAACCAGTGCTGTCTATGTTATTTCAATTCATGTGCATAGCTGTTTTCAGTCTTGAAAATTTCAGTTTTTTTAATCATCAAAATTGTTTCTATACGTGGACAAATTTTTACTGAGATTATGGTTCCCTAATATCATTATTAAGCTCTGCCTGTATGACACCATGCCTTGTTCCCATTTGCTGTTCATTGCGGTATTCCACTCTTTAGCCAACATGTAGGTTTGGTGACAATTCTCCTTCTCTCAGTGTTTGACCCTTACTCTACTTCTTCGCTGTGTTGACTGTAAATAATGGCAACCTGCAGAAAATGATATGTTTTCAGTTTTTATCATGTCTACTGAAGAGGGTACAACATGGCCATGCTAGAGTTACTTATGATTTGCAGGTTTTCTTGAATCTCTATGGAGGGACATTGATATGAATAGGCTACACCATGACCCAACAGACGATCTTAATCTGATAATTGTGTCACATGGGCTTGCTATTCGTGTTTTTCTTATGAAGTGGTTTAAGTGGACTGTGGAACAGTTTGAGTTCTTAAATAACCTTGGGAATTGCGAGTTTCGAGTGATGCAGCTGGGTAATGGCGGAGAATACAGTCTAGCAATAAACCATAGTGATGAAGAACTGCAAGAATGGGGATTGTCTCCTGACATGATAGCCGACCAAAAGTGGCGGGCCCACGCTTCCAAGGGTGAGTGGTACGAAAAGTGTCCATGGTATCTCGACACCTTCTTTGACCAGTTTGCAGACTCCAGTGGTGAGGATGGTGAGGACTTGCAGCGCTGCTAATATTGTTGGAGACTGTGTGCCGAAGAAGAGGAAGTTATGAGACATGAACGTGAATTTATTTTCTTGATTTGTACTTTGAGAAACAACAAAATATTGTTAGTGATCGCATAATTATTTTGTGTAAGGAAATTATCTACTTCATCATATCCCATCTAGGACAAGGTCTGATGTCAACTAACATAAACACAATACAATCAAAAATCAAAACAAAAAATACAAATTAAAAAACAAATTCGCAATGAAATTAGATCAATCTTATTTTATCTGTGTTATAAATATTTGTTTGGTATGATAGTTACACCCATCACTACCAATAATTAATTTTATTATAAAATAATGTATGTGAATGACTATTTTACTCCTCATGTAATTGTATTATTACAATTGTGTCATCAGAAGTTTTCCTATAAATATGAGCTTCAGTTATAATGAAAACTAGTATTTGACTCTGTGCATTTGCACAGATGTAAATAAAATTAAATATTATAAGTTATATTTATGTATATAATATAAAAATTATAAGTTATATAATTGTATTATATTTCAAACATATTATATTATAAGTTAGATTTATGTATATAATATTAAAATTATAAATTATATAATAGTATTATATTTTAAAATTTGGTCATTGGTTAAAATAAATAGTACACACAATTTGATTGTATACGAATCACTATATTGATTGCATAAAATGTAATAAATATATACTTTTTATAATTTTGAGTGATCATGACCAATTAATTAGCTGAAAAATATTACATTTATTATAACAATTGCTTATGTGATTTTAGAAATTTTACTATGACATAAAAAAAATTAATTTATTAATAAATAACCGCTTCATCATATAAAAAATATTGATTTTAGTGTAAAATATAATTTTATGTAACTTTCATATATTATTTAGTATAAAATATAATTACTAATTTTAATATTAACTATTATATTATTCAATAAAAAATATAATTATTAATCAATTAACATAAAATATAATGATTTTGTCTTAATTAACCCAAAAAACTGTAATAAAATATTTTCTTATTAATGAGATTAGGTGTATTAATGCCACATAAATAAAATTTATTAGGTTCAATTTATAAGGTTTTATTAATGATTTGCCACATAGGTAAAATTTATTAGGTAAAATTTATTGCTTAGCTAGCAATTATATATATATAGATACAACCAAGGGAAAACATTCTCTATATTCTCTCTATTCTCTCTAGTTTTATAACACGTTATCAGCACGAGCTTCTACCCTCTAGAGCTCGGTTTGTAATATGACGAGAGCATGCTCTACAGTTGCGTCTTATAAACGATCCTCTATATCATAAATCAAAATATTACAAATCGTTATTTTATTGAAATTATTCTTCAAGTTCAAATAAAACATTGAAAGAAAAAACATATCAGACGAGTTGGTGGTTGCGGGGAGCAGAAAGCCGTCTCCAAAGCTGACGGAGGCCAACTCATCGGCGGTTTTCTTACAGATCGGCGACCATGCCCAACTAGCTTATACTCACTCCAATCATCCTGATTTTCAGCCGAGAACAGGTATAATAATTGTTTCATTAATGAAACTGGCTCTTCTCCTCGCAGCTGTGCGTATTCGCCCAACTCTATATCTCTGAGGCTTTTATTTGTTCTGCGTGAGTGTTCTGGCAAGTAAGTAAGTTTCAATTAATCTCCTCTCACATGTTACTTATTAGCACAAATTGATGATGTTTGTGTTTGACATTGAAATGCATATCTCATTTCACAATTATTGACTTGGATTTATATTATGGTTTAAGTATGGTCCACTCATTGATTTAATGTAAAAGTGGATTAGTTGATCAAACCACCAATTAATTGGGCATTACTATTCACCGCCCCCTTTGGACATTTTTGCCCCTGCCATTTTTTTTCAAAAAGTAAAAAAAAAAAA